TGCAACGCCATGGCAAAAGATAAACCGGGCGAATGCCTGGTCTGTCACCGCCCTTATGCCTACCTCTGGGATCACATTAAGAAAAACCACCTCCACAGCCACATCCCTCTGCCGACACTTGCTGCCATGGGCTACACCGCATGCCCTGCCTGTGGACAAGCTTGCCAGTCCACCCACGGAATTTTTTCACACCAAGCTAGGACCTGTAATAAGGCCCCCCGCCGCTCGCTTACGCCCACCTTACCTGAAACACCTAACCACACCGCCCCCACATCGACTGCCACCGCCTTGACAGCCTACCCTGCTACAACCATACAAGCAGGAAGCCGTAGAAAACGCTGTCGCAACTCCCCGTCGCCGCCCCCCGCAAGGGACAGGGCAAAGCCAAGAGCAAGGAATACATATACACACAACAACCATTCTAAAATATCAACAGACGCTAGCAGGGAAGTTGCAAGCCTTCTAGCCGGATCACAAAAGGAATACCTACAACAAGGCAGCCCAGAGCTAGGAAGCCAAGACGGCCAAGTGCCAGACTCCCGGAGCAGCTCGATATACGGTTCGCCAAACGACTCGACGATTGGCCACATAGAGAACCTGCTATCGAGTCCAGGGGGCGGCCAGAGCGGCGACCTCTCTATCCAGATCCCGGATCACCAGCCGGCAGATAACAGTAGCAGAGTGAGCTCACCAGCCGAAAGCGATATAGCTGTTGCAAATAGCCCCTCCCGGGATACAGGCCGCCAAAGGAGCCTAAGCCAGGAGACTGTTACAACCTCTGAATACCAGCCCTCGCCGACAGCCTCGCCTGTTTCCCTTGGCCCTCAACTCCCGGGAATACGGACCTACGGAGACGAACACACCCCCCCGCCGCCCGACCTAGCCGATACAAACGGAGGTTGGGGCCAGGACAAGAGTTGCAACTTCCAGCCTCGTAACAAATACCTGCAACAGCTCTTTAGCTACAACCACATCCAGGCAAAGGACCACACCTTCCGGGGAACACAGGCATCACACTTCGCGGACGCAGCAGCCAGATGTGCAACCCGCTACAGCCGGCAGGCCTCGGAAAGACACCTACTAGACTTCCTCCTCCTGCCCAAGGTGGGACTAACCCTAGGGGTACAGTCGGAGGAATTCAGCGTCAGACACACCCTGCAACAATACCCTGACTTCAAACTGCCACCGCCCACCCAGATCGAGGCCGAGGAGGCCCAGGAACACCTAGGCCAACCGCATAACCTTAGGGACACTCCCACAAGGAGGGCGCAAAGACTAGTGGAGAGAGGCTACCTGGGAAGAGCTGCAAGAGCCCTAGTCGACCCTACTTCCCTTGCGAGAAACTCATCCGAAGTACTTGCAAAACTTAAGGAAAAACACCCAGCTGGCCAGCAGAGGCCTTTTGCTTCGAATGCAAGCCCCCGGGCTGGACCACGACCTACAGCCGAGGACATACACCAAGCCCTGGCCACCTTTCCGAAAGACACAGCCGCGGGACTGTCTGGCTGGTCGGTGCCGCTGTTGCAAGAAGCCTGCAAGAGGAAGCAAGTGGTCGAATTCCTTGTCCAGCTCTGTAAACAGATCCAGAACGGCACGGCACCAGGCAACCAATTGCTGACAGCATCCCGGCTCGTAGCCCTCGACAAGGAAGATGGCGGGGTGAGACCTATTGCAGTTGGGGAACTGATCTACAGGCTGGTTGCAAAAGTCCTGCTCCGGAAACAGTTTGTGGTAGACCAGCTTGCACCCTTCCAGCTAGGAGTCCAGAGCCCGGGAGGCGTCGAACCAATCATACACCTCCTTAGACACGCAGTTGACGGCAACCTGAGGGGATATACCCATGTGTGCTCTGCAGACTTCCAAAACGCCTTTAACTCAGTCTCCCGGAAGGCTGTCTCAGCTGCAACAATCATGTACGCCCCGGAGTTTTACAAGCCAGCCAAGTGGGCATACGACGAGCCTTCGGCACTAGTCATGTACGATGGGACTGTGATCACCTCCTCGGAAGGTGTGCGGCAAGGAGACCCCCTAGGTCCCCTCCTCTTCTCGCTAGCCATCCGACACTCGCTAGAACAGCTGCAACAACAGCTTAGAAGCGCAACCAGAAAAGGACTACCTCCTCCCCATCATTGTTGCCTACCTAGACGATGTCTACATCCTCTCCGGACAGGAAATCCGGCCGGAGAAGCTAGCGGACTACCTGCAACATGCTCCTATTACCCTTAACATCCAGAAAACCAAGTCATACCCGCTTGCGGAGCTTCGACAGACCGGACTTAAGGCACTAGGCTCATTTGTAGGCCCCTTAGACGGCAGGAAAAGATTCCTCCAGGACAAGATAGAAGAGTTGCAACAGGTACTCGAACGGCTACAAGACCTTCCAAAACAGCACGCCCTACTGTTGCTAAGGGCAAGTACCTCCTCGCTACTCCGACACCTCCCCCGGACGATAGAACCAGAAGGCCTGCAGGACGAACTCCAGGACATCGACCGAAGACTGCTCCAGACTGTCAAGCACCTCCAGGGGTCCTATGACGACAAACCACTTGACCAAGACCTTGTTGCACTGCCAGCGCGGCTAGGAGGGTTAGGTATCACCCTATTTGCGGAGACAGCCCACCTAGCCTTCCAGAATTCAAAGGCAATAGCAGATCTTGCCTTACAGAAGATCCTTACACCAAAGCTGTTCTGGAGGCTCCCACGCGAGTTCTCCCCATCACCTACCCGGTCTGCATCTGGAGACGATCTGCAGCAAGACCAGGACGACTTGCAACAAGACCAGGATAACCCGCAACAAGACCAGGATAACCTGCAACAGGATAGCGACGACGACTCGCAACAGGACCAGGCCGAACTGCAACAACCTCGGGGAAGAAGCAAGACTAGAGCAACCGAAACCCAACAACAGAGCCTAGCCTACTTCCTTACCCAGAACGTGCAGGAAGAACCAGAGCCCACACCAAGACACCAGAGCACTAACGCTTTAGGGACTGGGCTTGCAAGGTCTATCTATCGTACCGCAATGGACAAACTCCATAAGGCCCGCCTTGCTAGAGTCCAACAAAAGCTATCACAAGGACAAGAGGCGGTCCGTATGGAAAACAGCTCTTACCTAGGAAGAAGATGGCTCTCTGCCCTCCCGACATCGCAACCCCTACTCCTTGCTGACATGGACATAGCTGCAGCCCTCTCGATCCGCCTGCTCACCACCCCGGAAGATGAACAGGACATCTGCAGGCACTGTAATAGGGCCTACACCTTCGGCCACGAGGATGCCTGCCGAGCAAGGACACGCCAGACAATAGCAAAACACGACAAGATCTGCCAGGCCCTCGCAACAGCCCTCCAGACATGTCCTGACAACAAGGTCTTCCTAGAACCGCAGGGCGACTATAGGGGAACCAGAACTGACATCCGGATTGACAATCCAAGAGGCTCAGTCTTTCTGGACGTTTCAGTCATCTCCCTCACTAAGGAGTCAGCAAAGAAAGACCCGTATGACACCCTTGCAGCAGCTGAACAAGCAAAGAAAAACAAATACCGAAACCTCGGCCAGGCTTTTAAGCCATTTATCCTTAGCCAAGGAGGCCTCCTAGGAAAGGAAACCTCACAAACATACAAGGAGCTGCAACAGTCCTTCTCACCTAGCATAGCCGAGTGGCTAGACAAGTACATCTCTACCCTACTAGTCCGGCTCCGGGCAAGGAACTGGATGGGATATGGGATTAACTAGGGCTTATGTCTGCTAGATAGAAGAAGGATAGAAAAGATCTAGAGAAGGTAGTCCACCTATTTTCTTACTATACCTAGGTTACAAACTTTAGGAGCATAATATAGCTTATATAGTATTGTATCGAAGTTTTGTAAACCCTAAACCCTAAACCCTAAACCCTTGAACCGAGCAACGGGTATCTTGCGGCCATGAAGTGACACGGTTTTGTTGCCGCTATCCCAGAGAACTGTGCCCTGATTGCCATGATTTCGGGCGATGAGTTTGCCGTAAGCTAGAAGACTGAGCATCTTGCTCATCGGACTATATCCACCGTCGGCTAGATAACGCTCTCGTGTCTCGAGAAATCTTCTGTCGTCATCCTCACCCTGACAATCCCGTTCGGCCGACGGTAGTATTGCCTCGACTGCAAAGATGCGTGTGCAGTACACCACTCCAGCTAGCATGTACGAGAAGTCGTTCGCTTCGCGGAGTCGACCCATCTCCTCGTCAATGCTAAGTACAGCTAGAAAATGCAACAGTCCACTGCTAAAGACGTCTCCTCGGACGGTGACAAAGACGAAAGACTTGATAAGCCTGAGTAGAGTATCCGTTCTCGCACTGTCGTCACTGTGCGGCGTCTGCATTAAGCTCCATAGCTGCTTAGCAAGAGCCTTTTGATCATCCTTCCACGGGAATAGTCGGCAAGCGTCTGCCATGTAGTCAATAGTTGTTGTCGCGCCTCCCTGTTCCTCGCCGGTGTAGACAGTTGTGTCATCCGAAGTGCTACTGTCCGAGTCGTTATCATCAGTGCTGCCGTCGCTGTCACTTCCAGTGTTGCTGCTGTCGGTTTCGCTGACAGAACCACCATCTAAAGCTTCTCTAGTACGGTCCTGCTGACTGCTTTCAATTCTAGCTTGTCGAACGTAATCTCTACGTTCATGCTCGGCTTGCCTTTGAACAATTCTCATGATGTAGCAGATGAATCTCTTCTAGTAGCTAGCATAGCGAAGTTGAGACTCGGGGTTTTGCAGCCTTGAAAGCGGTCTAACATCAGCCTCGGACTTTCTTGCACTTCGTAGCCAGCGGCGGGTTTCTTGATCAAGTGTTGACAGACCGGCGACACATTTCTCAACTAACAAGTCAATTAGTCTTGAAATGTGCTGCAGTTCTTGTTCATCTTTGTCGGCAAGACGACTTCCGTTCGAGAGATGTTTGTAGTTGCTTCCAGCAAGATGCTGCGG